AAAGGATCGAAAATGGACCATAATAAACATAGAAGACATTAATGATATTTCATGAAAATGGTAAAGCTCTTCTTTTCATTTCTGTTCAACTGTTTCAGCTTACACAAGAATGGTATATATTCACATGCGGCTACATTAAGCTCCTAATGGATAAGGCTATCACACACAACAACCTCATTGGCTAAGGGTAAGTTTTCTAGGGTTTTGAACTTGCTTTTGTCATGTTCCTTGGGCTGCAAGCCCACAGCTCGACTGCTTTTCTTTTTGGCCGTTTCCTCCATGTCAGCATGCCAACTCAACCTTTCTCTTTTATTTGCTTTGGTTCTTGAATGGTCAACCATGCTTACGTGTGCATGGTCTTCAATATGCCCCCTCAATTCTTTGCAGGGGTTAGGAGCTAACCTTAGCTTGTTTGTAAACCGTGTAAAGAATTGTCCTGTCAATGCTTTTGTAAAGATATCAGCTATTTGTTCAATAGCTGGGAGATGTTGGACTGAAATCACCTTGCTTTCAATTTTCTCTCTTATAAAGTGTAAGTCCAGTTCAAGATGCTTGGTCCTTGCATGGTTGACTGGATTGCAGCTAGACAAACAGCTCCTCGGTTATCCACCCATATAGTGCTTGGTTTTAGGAATCCTATCTTCAGTTCAGTCAACAAGGATTGTATCCAAATAACTTCTCATGCAGCTTGTGCCAAACTCATGTACTCAGCCTCAGTGGAAGATCTAGAGACTATGGTTTGTTTCTTTGCACTCCAAGATATTAAATTGTTGCCAAGAAAGACACACATTCCTGAGGTTGACCTTCTATCATCATGGTCTGATCCCCAATCAGCATCACAGAAACCAGTTAGATTGAAAAGGCTGCATTTTTCAAACTTAAGCCCATAGTTCTTAGTACCTGCTAAATACCTGAGGATTCTCTTCACTGATTTCCAATGTGTATCAAGTGGTTCTTGCATGAATTGATAGACCTTATTGACAGAGTAAGATATGTCAGGTCTTGTTAAAGTAACATATTGTAATGCTCCCACAATCTGTCTATATAGGTGAGGATTTTGCAAAGGACAGCCACTATACTTAGATAGGGGTGGAGATGAAACCATAGGAGATGCTAATCCATTTGCCCCCTTCATGCCAGCCCTATCTAAGAGGGTATCAATATATTGTGATTGATCCAGTACAATGGAATCAAAAAAATGAGTAACATTAACCCCAAAAAGAAATGCAGCTTGCCAAGATCTTTTAAAGAGAAATGAGTGGATAAAGAGCTGACCAAAGTGGATAACTCAAGAGAGTCACTGCCTGTTAGAATGATATCATCCACATAAGCAAGGATGAAAATAGAGCTGTGAGAATTGTCTGAAATACAAAGAAGTATCTGCTTTGGAAACTGAAAATCCAAGAGAATGAAGAACAGAACTGAATTTGGAAGTCCAGGCCCTTGATGCTTGCTTCAATCCATACAGTGATTTATTCAGTTTGCAAACAAGACCTTGGGAAGGATTAACCTTAAAACCAGGAGGTTGTTGCATATAAATCTCCTCAGTTAATGTGTCATTCAAAAATGCATTATCAACATCAATTTGCTTAAGTTCCCATCCTAAAGAGATGGCTAAAGACAGAATCAACTT